GCCCGCGCCCGGAAGAGCCGGGTGGGGGAGGCCCCGAGGGCTGAGCAGCAGGGGCTGCGGCGTTTAAGCGGAGGGGCCGGCGGGGCAAACGGGGAACACGGGTTGGCAAGGCCTTTGCCACCCCCACCTGCCTGAAGTCATGGCTCCCTCCCCCTGACCCGTCACCTATTATGGAGAAACTATAATAATACAAAAATACGTTACTAAGCCATTCAGAAAAATATGATACGCTTAAATACAAAACCCGCAGTCCACAAAGGGGTACGAGAAATGGTTGTAATGCTGGTTGTTTACATTTAAATAGTTGAGAGATGCATCTGGTGTTTTTAAAACTGGCTTATTTTCCCTTCATTAAAGTAATACCATGACAACTGGAAAATACAGGATAGTAGAACTTACTTTAATCATCTGTAATCCTACCATCTCAAATACAGTACATTAGTTTTTTCCTCTAATTTTCTTTATTATTTGTACTTTTATTTTTTTAATCCTCACCAGAGAATATTTTTTCCATTGCTTTTCAAAAAGAGTGGACGGGAGCCCTAGCCAGTTTGGCTCAGTGGTTAGAGCATCGGCCTGTGGACTGAAGGGTCCTGGGTTCGATTCTAGCCAAGGGCACGTACCTCGGTTGCAGGCTCCATTCCCAGCCCTGGTTGGGGCTCCTGCAGGAGGCAACCAGTCAATGTGTCTCTCTCACATGGTGGTTTCTTTTCCTCTCTCTCTCCCTTCCACTCTCTGAAAAGCAATAGAAAAAATATTCTCAGGCGAAGATTAAAAAAAGAAAGTGGAAGGGGGAGAGAGAGAACCATCGATGTGAGAGAGACACATCGATTGGTTGCTTCTTGAAAGCATCCCACGAGGGGCAGGGATCAAACCTGCAACCCAGGTAGGTGCCCTTGGCCAGAATCGAACCTGGGACCGTTCAGTCCACGGGCGGATGCTCTAACTGTTGAGCCAAACTGGCTAGGGCCTATTTGTATAATTTAAAAACAATTTTTTTTTTTTCCCAGCTGGTGTGGCTAAGCAGTTGAGCATTGACCCAAGATCCAGGAGATCGCCATTCGATTCCCAGTCAGGTCGGGGCACACAACCAGGTTTCTGGCTTGATCCCCAGTAGGGGTTGTGCGAGAGGCAACCAGTCAATTGCTTTCTTGTCATTGATCTTTCTATCTCTCTCTCCCTCTCACTTCCTCTCTCTGAAATCCATGAAGAC